GTAGAACACAGGCACAAGCTTGTTGAGAGTGGACATTTCAACTAAGGGAAATAGGAAAGTTAGATGCGGGGGTGGGCAAAAGTACGGGAAGCAACAGAATTGGACTGAAACCTGGTGGTTGCTCAGTTCCGCGAAGAAAAATACTATTTTGGTTCTAAAAACCAAGAATCAGAAGCTTCCGTATTTTTTATGGTAGAAACCGAATTCTTAAATCAATTATATATGATAATCGACAATCTTCCATTATTAAATTTTGTGTAAAGAATCTTTCCTTTGTTTTAATTTTTCCTAATGCGTAGTTGTAATTGTCCCGTAAATAGATCTCTCCTTACTGTAAGGAAATACACAACTAGTTATACATTTTTCTTTAACTCTAAATTAATTCTAACATGGTATCATAGCCATGGTACTTTAGATAAACCTCATCATGGAGTTGTTGCAGTTAAGGTGTTTGATAATATTCCATCTCAAAATTGCATAAACCCTAATACAGTGATTGTTCGATAGGGTGAAATACTCAAATTCACCTTGTCCATAGTGAACTCAGCTATCGGAGTCGAAAAATTGGCATATGATACAGTCAAATGTAATACATCATTTGAATGGATCCACCTCCAAATCCACAATATAGAATTGCAAACAGAGATGGGAGGACTTGAAATCTTCTTCATTTTATTGTCACCTGTATTTTTTATTTTTATTTTTAAATAAGATTTTTTGAAAATTGCATGTTTGGATGTGCTTAATATTACGTTAAGCTTTATCTTAAGTGATATATTTTATTAAATATGATTCTAACAAATTTTGTTACTTTTGTTACTAAGAAATTTTGTATTTGAGATAAAGGAAAAAAAAGTTTGTTACTTTTGTTACTAACAAATATAAAAATAGTTTAAGCACAATTAAGCCCAATAAAATATTTCTCTATCTACTCATGTTAGAACATTAAAAATACCAAAAAGGGTCCATCGCCATTCGCCAGTGGTTATGGTGAGTCCACGTGCTGTGCAACTACTCAACTAGCAACACCAAAATGGGTGGTCCATCGCCATTCGCCAGTGGCTATGGTGAGTCCACGTGCTATGCAACTGCTCAACTAGCAACACCAAACAAGCCAAGAGCACGTTTGGCAGA